GTACAACTCGCAAAGTTCTTCTCAATTGAGCTTCGCCATGCAAGATTCGGTCGCCATTCTTTAGGTCTCCCAAGTCAATTTTGAAAATATTTTACAACTTTAGCAAAATGTTGAAATTTTCTGTAACTTTCACGGTTTTTTGGGTTTAGGAGTGTGCAATACGATGCAAAGCTTTAAGCATCTAAACGTTCAACTCGCAAAGTTATTCTCAATTAAGCTTCGCCATGCAAGATTCGGTCGCCATTCTTTAGGTCTCCCAAGTCAATTTTGAAAATGTTTTACAACTTTAGCAAACTGTTGGAATTTTCTGCAACTTTCACAGTTTTTTGGGTTTAGTTCTGTACAATACAGTGCAAAGTTTCAGGCATCTCAAAGTTCAACTCGCAAAGTTCTTCTCAAATAAGCTTCGCCATGCAAGATTCGGTGGCAGTTATTTAGGTCTCCCAAGTCAATTTTGAAAATGTTTACAACTTTAGCAAAATGTTGAAATTTTCTTCAACTTTCACAGTTTTTTGGGTTTAGTACTGTGCAACACGATGCAAAGTTTCAGGCATCTAAACGTTCAACTCGCAAAGTTATGCTCAATTGAGCTTCGCCATGCAAGATTCGGTCGCAATTCTTTAGGTCTACCAAGGCAATTTTGAAAATGTTTACAACTTTAGCAAAATGTTGGAATTTTTCGAAACTTTCACAGGTTTTTCGACTTAGCATTGTGCAATACTATGAAAAGTTTCAGAAATCTAAAGGTTCAATTCACAACGTTATTCTCAATTGAGCTTCGCCATGCAGGATTCTGACCGAATCCTTTTTTAGGTCTGCCGAACCAACTTTGAAAAATTCTGCAACTTTAACAAAATGCTGGAATTTTTTACAACTTTCACAGATTTTTGGGTGGAGTATTGTGCAATACGAGGGAAAATTTCAGTCAGATAAGTGTATAACTCGCAACGTTACACTCAAATTGAGCGTGGCCTTGCACGAAACAGTCAATCTTATTTTGGTCTGCAAACAAAATTTTCAAAAATTCTACATCTTTCATTTGATCCATTTTTCCTTAAGTCTACGAACTGAATTTTCAAAAATTCTATAACTTGCTACAACAGAATGTTCAAATTCTATGCTCAACTATACTTGAAACCTCCGAAGGAGCTACAGTTTCTAACCGGCGAAACGTTTTTTTGACAATTTTTTCCAATCTCATGAGCACGGGCGAGAAGTAAAAAAGAGGCTCACACAAAAAACTGAAAAAATGTCTCCAAATTGAGAGTGAGATAAATAAAGGTAGCAGCAGACTTTCACCAGATATCTGGAAAGATTCTTCATTGCTTATCTGAAAAATGCCTCAACCCCATTGTCCTTCCAGCCCCAGCTCGTGAAACCTAGTCGCTTAAAACTTCTCAAAAAATTCTTAAACAAAACCTAAGAATTTTTTAACAGTTCTAAAACAATCTGAATATGTTTCTTCTGAAGGGCAAATAAATTCCCTGCCAATGATTTCACTCTTTACATTTTGGCCTGAACTTCCAAACTTTCCTGTTGCCCACACCTAAAACAATTTAAGCGAGAATAATAAATGTGAATACTTTTTTATGCGCGCCAACTGACAGAATAATATGGCATTGCATGTAACTGTATTAAAAGTTCGAACATACATTTGGAGTTTGAATGCGAGTTATGTCAGTTTTTGGGCCTTCGCCGGTCTGCACTGGGCCGGAAAATTCGAATTTATTGCGACACGTTCCACGAATTGAGCTAATTAATTTCCTCATTAAAGGGCGAGATTTTTGCGGAAAATTGGGTCGCCAACTTCATTCGCATGCTGGCGATGAGGCCGCACGATCGTAATTTGATTCGAATAAACCAAAGTCCTGGACGTTGAGTGGTCGCAGTTTCCGCTTTTTCCAAGTGTTACAACTCTAATGCTGTGGAAGTTGGCAACTCATTATCCTACATTTTATGCGGACACTTTTTGCAAATTATTCTGGGCAATAGTTGTTCCAAGCAAGTTTCGGATTTCATATGCTGGTTGATTTGTCGATTCAACTAAAACCCCGAATGCAATACAGAACTTTGTAAAGACAAAGTGTAGCTGTGTTTTATTCTCAAATAGTAGTTTTCGATACAAGGGCGAAAAATGTCGCAAAAATTCCCTTTTTGTATATTTTTAAATCTTTATCATCAACTAGCATTAATTAATTTTTTATTTTCCTGTCCATTATTTCCTGCCTTTGGTTCGCACTGTTGCTCCCAATTGGTTCCGCTGCGTTATTTTCTGTTTGAGTTCAATAACTGAAAAAATCACCTTAAACTTGTGGTATTCTAATAGGCGGTGTATTTATATCGAAAAT